GGCCAGGCTTCGGCCCTCGACCTCCCTGCAGGCATTGATGCGCACAGGGAATGGAAATACTTGTCCGTCTGCAACGTGAATGGCAAGGCAGTGGCAGTGCCGTATAATGCTGAGAAGATTTTGGTGGTGGACCCTGCAACTGGCCAGGCTTCGGCCCTCGACCTCCCTGCAGGCATTGATGCAAGTAGGGAATCGAAATACAGGTCCCTCTGCCTCCCTGCAGGCATTGATGCAAGTAGGGAATCGAAATACAGGTCCGTCTGCAATGTGAATGGCAAGGCAGTGGCAGTGCCGGCTTATGCTAAGAAGATTTTGGTGGTGGACCCTGCAACGGGCCAGGCTTCGGCCCTCGACCTCCCTGCAGGCATTGATGCGCACAGGGAATGGAAATACTTGTCCGTCTGCAACGTGAATGGCAAGGCAGTGGCAGTGCCGAATCATGCTGAGAAGATTTTGGTGGTGGACCCTGCAACTGGCAAGGCTTCGGCCCTCGACCTCCCTGCAGGCATTGATGCAAGTAGGGAATGGGAATACTTGTCCGTCTGCAACGTGAATGGCAAGGCAGTGGCAGTGCCGCTTTATGCTGAGAAGATTTTGGTGGTGGAGCTGCCGCAATCCACGGTGTTGAGCTTCAGCCTGCACCAGAGTGCTGTCCAGCACACACCCGTTTTCGCCGAGCTGGTGGCAGCTTTGTTGAGCTACTGGGTGTACACGGACGAGCCGGAACCCCCACATCTCGAGAGTACCGCCATGCAAGTTCATCGAGTGGTTCAGCCGGTCGAGTTTGGTTCAGCCGTGAAGATCGCCACCGTCACTGCTGACTTACCAACTGGCAAGGTGCTGTACGTCGCCTTTAAGGGCACTTCCTACATCCTGGATTTCTACAACTGGAACCTGGAGCATCATCACACCATGACGCAAGATCCCGACTTCTTCGTCCACGGCGGAGCTGCGAGCACAATCCAGGAGGCTAGCTTCTGGCATGAGCGGAGTTTTGCAGAGCGTTTACAGGAGGCGAGGAAGAACGGGGTGCGGAGGGTCGTTTTGACAGGCCACTCCTTGGGAGGAATGTATGCAGCATTGGCACTTTACAAATACTGGAAGAAGAAGGATGGCCAGGATGGCGCCTCGCAGGAAGTCGTGTCTCTTCCGTCCAATTTCGACGTGCGGTGCGTCACCTTTGGCTCTCCGATGGTCTTCGGTGGCAGCTCCCACCAAGCGCAACAATTTAAAGCATTTGCGCAGAAGCGAGCCGTGAACTACATCAATGAGAACGACCCCTGCCCCCGTGCCTGGGGCGCCCTGAATCTCCAACAGTTTGTGGAAGTGGCGGTCAAAACCGTTCAGAAGGGATTGGTCGACGAGCAGGGCAGCATCTCTGGGTTTGTGGCATCGAAGGTCGTTGGAGCGGCTGCAGAAAAAGTCCTGAACCGACAGGACTTTCGCCAGATCGAGGACCTTGCTGAACGGTATGAGCACTTTGCAGAGCTAAAGGTGTTGAGTTCTCAGCGGCAGGTCGCTCGCTGGAAGGAGTTCCAGCTCACCCCAGATTGTCTGAAAGACCACTCCGTGTTGGCTTACGTGAACCGGCTCTTCGATGCCTTCGACGACAGCCGGCCCGAGTGCCATGTGCACACCCAGGAATCTCGCGCCGTACCCAGTGGCGAAGCCCTTAGCAGCCTTAGCAATCCCTTTTCGGGAGCTTACAATCTGACCTGGATTGACAGATTTTTAGCCAGAATTTGGCCAACAACCAGCCAGAAGGCGCTGGCAGCGGGGTGAGGTCGGACACAGACGTTTATGCCATTGCACTGGAAACATCTTCACAGAGGGCTCGCTTCTGCCGCAGGTGAGTGAGCCGCATTTCAAGCATTCCTTGTGCAATGAATCAAAACCTACTGTGGAAGCCTAAATAATTACCTATACTCTTTTGGGGGTTCCTGATTATAAAACATGGTAGAAAGGGCCCCAAAACCCTATTCTAACTATAAAGGCCCCTACTATTGAACCCGGAAGATGGTGCAGGCGGGCCCATCCCCGGGAACTTCCGTGCCGCAACAGCTCGGCTGCAGCTGACGAAATGTGGCCTGGCCTCAGCAGCTACTTCAGGGGTTTAAGTTTAAGGTTTCGGGGTCTCGGGGTTCAGGGAATTCAAGTTTAATTACGGTCTAGGGGTTTGAAGTTCCAGCTCCCATCTTTCAATGCCCAGTGCACAAGTCTACCCTCAAGCCGTAATTCCAAAATCCCTACATCCCAAAACGGCTCCAACCTTAAAGCCTGAAAGTCCCCGTAATGCCCCTAGAACATCTTGATCTTCCGACACCCCCCAATTCATCCCCCCTAAAATGCACCGAAGACCTAACTAGGACTTGGTACGTGCGTGCATACGCATATCATTTGTACCAGTATTGTAATGTATATCTCTCTCTCTCTCTCTGTATGTATCTCTCTTTCTCTCTATATATATATGTATACATATCCATCATCCCCATCTATCTCTCTTCTTTGTTCAAGGTGTTGTGCTGCACGCCGCGCCGGGAGCGGCGCCGAACTCGGCTCTGCTGCGATCAGCGCTGGGGGCTCTTCAAAGGAGCCCACTTGGGTAGAAGCGAGGTTTCATTTGCAGAAAGTTGGGTTAGATGAACATGGCAGTTTTGGTTGAAGTTACTTTGGTTTACTTGAAGTTATATCTCTTATTACCAGAGGTTCAGAGTTTCGAGCAGTCTGTTTAGGTTCGTATCCTTATGGGGGTTCAGGAGTCTGATGTTTCAGGCTGCAGGGTTTTGTCGGCCTGGCGGGCGTGGGCCCAGATGGAAAGCTGTCAGTCCCGCAGCCCCAAAAGCCCATATCCTCTCCTTGAATACACCACAGCCCCCAACACATAGCACCGGTTTTAGCGGACAGCAGTCTGTTGCAGGGATACTTGAGGCTTCGGAGTGGCCGCTGAAAGCCTGTTTACACCCCAAACCCTGTCACTCTACGTCGAACCGTAGAAAAGTAGTAAACCGTTGGTACAACAGCTATCATAAGGGACAACCAGTCCACCAGTTTCGGCGTATTTAGGGTCTGGTATGTCGCCCTATCTGTGGATTGACCTAAACTACATCCCCCCTTGGCCTGTTGCGCGGCAGGCTAGCCGAGGAGCCCAAGACGAAAACTGGAAAGGCGTGGGAAGCAGATGGGGGTGGGGGTGGGGTGGTGCCTGCCTACGAGAAGTCGTCACGGGTTTAGCGTTTAACAGGGTCTACGGCTGCCAGGATTTGGGCGCGGCTCAGGGGTGCAGGGTGCATAGGTGGACATGAGGGGCCGCGAGGGTGCTGGCAGGAACTCCAGACCCGGTATTTACTTCCTTGTTCGGTATTGAAGCGTGTATGCTAGTCGTCGAAGGATGTTGAGGTGCTTCGATTCTTCAGAGTCTGATAGTGGATGAAAACTCTGCGGGTTTGTGCTTGCTATATACGGATGTAAGCGCTGCGGGATAGATCTCAAGCCCCGCAGCTCCAGCTTTTGACCGAAAGAGGCAATTCTTCGAGATTGCGGCCATGGGAGCTAGTGCTGTCTGTCACCTTCAGTCACAGCTCAAACACCATCAACGGCCATGATGCTACCATCTAGAGGTATTCCTCCTCGATTTTAAATCAGCTAAGCTAGTGTCCCATCGCGTTAAAACCCCAAACCCCGAGCCTGCCAAGCCCTTAAACCCCGAATCCTGGACCCCCAAACCCGAAACCAAGAATCCAGCATCCCCGAAACAAGCCCTAAACCCCGAAGTTAAGCCCAAAATCTATCCTAGCCCCCAAACCCTTGCAGTAAACCCGAAATTATTGAAGCCGACCCACCTTTAACCTCCCCCCTTTCCAAAAAAAGAACCTACCATTCAAACGACCGATACAAGCAAATGAACCCCTAAAAAACAAAACCCCTAAACCCCTAAACCCCTAAACCCTAAACCCTAAACCCTAAAACAACAGCTGAAGCCCTGCGGCCCCCAGCCTCCAGGCGCCAATTGACAACCGGAGCTTCTGCAGATCACTGCCGGCCCAAGCGGAGCGCGCAGCGGAGGAGTAGCTTAGGGAAGGGCTTGGGGCCTAAAGCCCTAAACCCTAAAGCCCTAAACCCTAAACCCTAAACCCTAAACCCTAAACCCTAAACCCTAAACCCTGAACCCTAAACCCTAAACCCTAAACCCTAAAGCCCTAAACCCTAGAAGCCTAAAGA